GGTTCACAAATTGAATGCCACGCTTCTAAGAATAATCTTTTCGACCATTGGGAACAGCGGTCAATGATGTTGACGTCCTCGAGGTCAAAATCATGATTGTATTTCATGCAATGTTGGGTTGATAAAGAGTTTCTATATCCCTTGAAAATCGCTCTCTTCTGTTCTCTAATCTTGGATCTTAAGGCTCTTGATGTTTGACCGATATAAACTTTGTCACAATCTTTACAACTGATTTTATAGATCACTCCTGTCGGTAAGTCTTTACTAAATTTGTAGTAAAGCATATGGCCCTTCGCTCCGATGAAGGGTTAACGCTCGAAACGTCAGCTTTTCTAATCTTAACGGTGGCCAATTTACCACTTCTACTTTGTTGATATATTGAAATTATTTACTAAATTTGTCTTTAGGTTTTTTTAAAATGGAGCCGACGGTCGTTAGGGGTTTGTGGGCAACATTGATGTTGAATAGATTTAAAGTTCTTGCAATTTTTCGGAAATTCCTTGAAGATATGGCAGGGTGACAAAACCTCTGTTGGTTTGAGACTGATTTGTAGACCCAGTGGCGCTTTGGCACCTTCTAATAAATTGTTCGGCTTAACCACTGATCTTCAGGGCGTCGACCACGTGTTGTATTTCGGATAATCTGTCCGTGCGTCGGTAGAAGGGATGTTCTTTGCTCTGTCCAGAAGGGTTCTAGCTACTGAGCGTTTGTGTTGAGAAGGGTGGTGAGAGTTGAATTGAAGGTATTTGTCAGTCACGTTGTGTGGTTTTCCTGTAGACGCTAGTTTTTATAGTTCCATCGGAATTTCTGGTTGTCATGGTGTCCAGAAATGCGATGGATCCGTCTTTTTCTTCTTCCACTGTAAATTTGATGTGTTGATTAATTGAGTTAAGGTGGGAGTGGAACTCTGTAAGATGTTCACGAGCAATGCAGACATGGCTATCTTCAACATATCTTGCCACCACTTAGGAGGGTGGGGTGCGATGACTAAAGCTCTCCTTTCGACGTGTTCCATACCAAATTTGCCAAAATCGCGCTCACAGGTAAGCCCATTGGGCAGCCAAATATTTGTTTGTAGAAAGTGCCATTAACGATGAAGCAGTTGTTATCAAGTACAAATTCATGATGCTGTCAACAGACATGTTTGTTCTTTCCGAGGTGGTCGGATCAGCTTCAAGTCTGTTCTTAGTCACCTCGAACGCCAAAGTTGTTGGTATAGATGTGAAAAGGGATGCCACATCGAAAGATACCATAATTTCCTGCGGGGTGATGTTACAAACCGAGACTTTTTTCACAAAATCGCAGCTGTTCGCAACAGTGTACTTGTTGTTTTGTAGAGGGCTCAAGATAGAAGCTAGATGTTTAGACACTAGGTATGTAGGACAGTTGATAGAGCTGGTGATGGGTCGTAGCGGAACCTCTGGTTTGTGTATTTTTGGTTGTCCATAGAAGGTAGCTGGTGTGGCATCAGTGCTTCGATGAGGACTAAAATAAATGCCATTAATAAATTCCGTCTAGGCAATGATAAATTACACAATAAAAAGGGAAGATACACGACTCGAAAGACCCCAGTCAATCAAAGAATCTGTTCTTTCTGCCATTCAAATGAAATTGAAGATGAAAAACATGTGCTTTTTTTGTTGTCCTTTGTATGATAGTTTTCGATTAGAACTTAACAACAAAATCGCAAGAAAGTGTCCTTGCTTTGAAAACTTTGATCATAACTCTAAAGTGTTATTCCTTTTTAATAACGCTGAACCGTCTAGATGTAGACTCATTTCTGCTTTTATATTCCAAATAATGAATATCAGACGAGAAGTTCTGTTAAAGACGAAATGATGTTAAATAATTATTGTTACTTATTCTTACTAAGGTAATGCCATGTACTACTTATGGAAGTACCTAATAAAGTTGTAGTTATTGTTATCGTTGGAGGACAGGCGTTTCTTGTTTGATGTATTGTTTTTTTTTATAAAGTCCTTGATGGGTATATTAATATAGACATATCCTCTTTTACTGAATTTTATTCGCATTCAGAGAGATACTCCTTGAGGGGAAGGGATGATCTGACTTTGAAGAAACATTATTCTAGGACTGATATTTTAAGTATAGCTATTTTAATAGGATAGTTGACATGTGGAACAAACTGCCAATGTCAACTCGTAATGCTTCTAGCAGCTCTGGTTTTAAAAAGGGAGTAAGGGATTATTTAACTTCGAGAAATATTTGATCCAATTCAGTTGTTTTGATTTTCTTTTTTATTTCTCTTTTTCTCTTTATAAGGTGGTCTCTCCGCCCGCCAGCAGCCTAGTATGGGGACTTAGTCTCTTTTGTTGACCATCCTCATGGCCTTTTATTTCTTGTACATATTTCTTACCATTTTTCTTCTCTTTAGATCATGTTATCAGTATTGCCATTAAATTGTAATAATTGAAAAAACAAATAAACATACGTAGAGTCACTGTGATACGATACTAATTAAATATGCAAGAAAATTCCCGACGATTCTAGAAAGTCACGCAAGTCACGCCACAATTGTTCGTAACACTCATAATAGCTCATTGTAGCTCATTGTAGGTCATTGTAGACCATCGTAGGTCATTGTAAATCATTGTAGGTCATTGTGGCTCATTTTAGGTCACTCCTTGTTCCCACGTTAACTCATTGTAGCCCATTGTCGGTCATTGTAGGTCATTGTAGGTCATTGTAGGTCATACCTTGTTTTAGTAACTACGATTAAATTTCGCGCAGTTCTAGAATTCGCGCACTTAAATTTCATACTGCGCCAAATATAATCCGCGCGAAAAGGTTTTAAATTAAATATTAACTTTATTGATAACTTAGGAATTTAGAATAACACAATGTACTACGAAATACTATTACATATGGTAATATTACAACAGTTAACAGTATCACTGGATACTAAAGAGTTCTTCAGTGAGAATTAGAGGTTGGTGTTTAAAAACGCAAGTTATCCGTTCTATTTATGCGTACACAGATTACCATAAAAAATTAGAAATAAAAAATTACTTCATCATCATCTTCTTCAACCTGAGAAATTTCTGTCGGGATTTTTTCTGGTTCCATGTAATATTCCACCAGAAAATACACCAGTATTTTCTTCACTAATTACTATTATTGTTAATGTTATCATATGCAATACCATCTGTGTAAATGGAATACAAATAAATTGTCGCTGTTGTTGATTTCACCGAACTGAACAAACCATGCGACATTCTTCTGTAGTCACACGTGAAAAAATGTGCCACCAGCGGGCGGTGAAAAACTTGCTTTAGGTTTACGCGAATTCCGTGCTATTCTTTAATTGTGTAATGACAAAAAGGTTAAATGCATCTGTAAACTCTAGTAAAGAAATCGAACAAGAAAAATGTCCCGCGCGAATAAGTCCTCAATAAGGTGCGCGAAATTAAAACTGAGCGAAAATGGGTACCACGCGAATTTTAATACAAGTAAGGTAGTTAATTCGGCTCACTATAGAGAGCTAGCCGAATTAACCGCCGAACTTTGAAAGCCCCAAACGAGCGATTTTTAGGCTTCCTGGCAGAAAAAACATTTCCAAACAAGTAATGAACTACTAATCTTTATTCGAAGCTGATTTTTTTTGAAGACTGACTACTAGGGACAGATTCTAGAGGCAATATATTTGAACTACATTTACAAAGTTCCAGCAAGAATTTGAGCCCATTCTCATCCATGGCGATGCTTTAGAAGTGGTAGAAAATGTAAAGCTTTTGGGTCTTAATATCTCCAGTAATTTGACCTGGAATACCCATATTAATGAAATTATTAAAAAAGCCTCTGAGAGATTATATTTCTTGATTCAACTTAAGAGAGCCAAGGTTCCTCGTACTGATCTAGGGCTCTTTTATTCTAGTTGTTTTAGATCAATCATGGACTATGCAGTACCGGTTTTCCACTATAGTTTGCCTAAATATTTAATACGAGAATAAGAACACGTACAGAAGAAAGCAATGTCCATCATCTGTCCTGGTCATAGCTATCATGAGGCCCTGGATATCATGAAATTTAAGGAATTAGCCATCCATCACGACGAAATATGAGTCACTTTTCGACAAAATTGTAAATGACAACAATCACCGTCTTCAAAAGTTAATAGAGACTTTAAGAAACCGCGACGGCGACGCCAAGGAAGATTTCGATTAAAAAATGAATTTCTACTCTTAGTTAGGATTTCAAAAATGGCTGTGGGAGCTTACTGTCTCACACAGCGCCACAGCTCAACTTCAGCATGACGTATTAAGTAGCCGTTGAGTTCCAAATGAAAATTAAAATAATTTGTCGTCGCGGTTTCGGTTCGCAGACGACGCAAATTTTGGCGATTTCACGTTGTTGTTTTGCATAGGACAGCTAAGAAATGTACAAAGTTTCAAAACGCACGTGCTAAGCTATTGTTCAACCAATTAGATCTCTTGTTTTTCTACGTCCTCGTTGCCGTCGCCGTCGTGGTTTCTTAAGGTCCCTACTACCAGCAGCACATGAAACTACCTACTTGTTAAGGCGTGCGCGACCTTTTAATGTACAACGCTTCAAAACCAGCCGTTTTAAGAATAGTTCTATTATTTCCTCATGTCTTAAAGCGAACTCATCTTAGCTTCCCCCTTTTTTTAGCCGATTGAACGCCTTTTAATAACTAAGTAGTTAATATCTAAATTAGTTTAATTTTACTATCTGATTAAATGCGCAATTCATTTTTTTTTAACTACCATGAATTTATGAATAAATAAACTTCAAACTTCAAACCTCGTAACGGCTCTGTAAATGGCACAGGATTCCATTACCATAGAAACCCGAAACCACAGATATTTAAGCTGGTAAGCCTGTGCTGAGACTTGTTAGACCAGAGCAATCATTTCCAGGTTCCTCTCTTAGTGGGGTAATCGAATCGGTGGCCGATCAGTTGGCTGGCCAATCACAACGCTTCTCACATAGTAACAAAAAACAACGGCGGGAAAGTCGGCTGAGAACATGGCGGACGTTGCGTCGTTACAGTTCTCTAGCACAATTTCGTATGAACAACGGTTCAACTGCGTTATCTGCTGGGCTCCGAACCTAAGAATGATTTACGGATCTTGCCAGCATCGTTTGTGTGAAAATTGTTTGTACGACAAATTAGGGAACAGGAAAGTTGGGCTAGAAAGATGTCCAACCTGCCAACGAGAGAATACCTTCCCGCTGACAAAACCAGATATACCCGAGGATAATGTGGAAATTCAAGCTCAGCTAGGCGTGAGAAAGTGTCCAAACAGTCTTTGTAACCTGCAGATGTGGCGCTGGGAAGTACCGGGTCACTTAGAGTAAGTTTCCTTGCTATTTTGTTTAATTTCCGTGACTGTATGTTTCATAGATACTTGGTTTCGTTTGGCAAGACTTAACTTTATTGAACTTTTGAACTTTATTTTTATTTAGACACGGTAAATCTATGAGATAAAGTAATAATATTACAATCTATTATTACAATTACATTCTACTTTAATCTATATAAACATGATCTAAAATTTAAAAGTGAAATAGAAAAAATAAAGAAATTCTGCTTTACATAGATGTCGTGTGCGTTTTGTCGATTCAGACGAAGAAATCGCGACAACCATTTCGAAAAGATTGAAGTGATTTTGCTTGCCGCAATTCAGGGGACAAGCTATTCCAGCTATTCTATACCGCAGTGTTATAGCTAAAGCTATTTTTCAGGAACTTGGTGCGGGGCAATGGAACAGCTAGTTTGTTTTCAGAGTTCCTTAGATTATAAAGATAGTCGGGCACAAGACTATGTATAGATTTATAGACCATGGTGGCCACTTGTCGCTGAGTATCTAACCGTCTCCAGTTAAGTTGCTCAAAAAGGGGATCAGTGCTTGTGTCATAACTGGAGAAGGTCAGAATACGGGCAGCCCAGTTTTGCAACTTTTGGAGCTTATTCAAAAGACCCTTGTTACAATGCCTCCAGACCTCGCTGCAGTAATTAAAGTATGGTTGAACTAAGGCATTGAAAACGGACTCCAGCGTGGTTCAGTTAACAAATGGCCTACAACATTTAATTGCTCCAATGCCTGATGCGATTTGCTTGGCTAATAATTTAATGTGCATATTCCATGAAAGGTTTTCGTCTGTATGCACACCCAGAGATTTAACCGAGCTAACTTGTTTAATTATGTCATCACTTATAATTAGTTTTGGGGAAGTATCATAAGTACCTATCCTTTGCTGTGATCCAATTAATATGAATTCAGTTTTAGATGAATTTAGAGTCAATTTGTTTGCAGTGAGCCATGTATAACATTGGATAGGTCATGATTCATAACATCATTGATCATTTCTATGTTGTTACTGGCAAAGGTCAGGTGAGTATTGTCGGCATACGTGCAACTGAATTAGACAGGCGATTAGGAAGATCATTTATGTATAAAACAAAAAGCAAAGGTCCCAGACATCAGATTCTTCCACATCATAGGCAGGTAGATAGGAGGATCAATCCTTGATGGCAAATAAAAATTCAAGCCTATAAAGATAAATAATAATGTATTCGCATCGTAGGCAAACCGGAATTCGTTTTGGTATAGTGTTACAAATTAAGGCCCTGAAAAACTACTGTTTAAAGTCTCTGGAATTTTAAGCTGCTGTATTGTTGTTTTCACGTTCACGTTTTTCTTTACTCTTCATTGTGAGACAATGTTTTACGTCTAACTTTCAATGGAATGGTATGAGTTTCTTATTTTGTGGAAACAAGAAAAATTTAAGTAACCCTTTATTGAGGAATTGTACGTTCCATGTTTTTAAAAGCCTTACCCATAACTACGTCATTTGTATTCCAAATCCCTGTTTAGACTGTTGAAATTTGAACAAATTGCCAGAAATATTGAAAAATAAGAAAACATCTTAGTAGATTACACTCATTTTTTGATCAGTGTTTAAAGTTGGAGGTTCCTTGTAATCAGTAACAAGAATTTGGTGGTAGATCAAGATAACTTCTGCTTGAAGTTTGAGAATTCTCATCACCTGTTTGTTGGATAGTGTATGGATATTGTAGGAAGTTGTATATTTATCAGCTGTGGAAATTAAAGGGTTAAGCAGACTGTTATGTAGCTATTTGGTACAAGATTGAGCAACTGGCATAGTGTGCTGAGTTTCCAGGGGCTTTCTATTTAATCAGTTCTTCAGGTTTGTGTAGTTGTGAGTATTTTTCTCTCATGTTGTAGAAAATGCCAGGTCTTGCCCAAGTCACAGTCCAAGGAAAGGAAAAGGAAAGGTGCAGATGATTCACTTGATGGTTTTGAAAGAAAGACCCCCATGGCACTGAGAAGTCACACAAGAAAATCACCTAAACTTTTTTCTGATAAAAGATTGATTAGAGCAAAGACAAGAACTGGGCGCAGAAGATTCAATCGCCATTCACAAAATAGGATGTAAAAAAATCACACCAAATAGGCTTCATGTAATGATCTTGTACATAGATATTGTAGGATAACTTAACTAAATGTTCTCCATGAATTTTTATGGAAAACTTACATACATACATACATACATACATACACACATTTTATTGTGTTTTGGGATAAAAGTACAGTAACATGCCCGTGGGTAGCTAAGCTAATTTAGGCAGGTCATGTTTACAGGAAGTAGATACAACGAAGTACAGCTAAAAGTAACAAGAGAACTAAAAAGCTAGAATTGACAACATTGATTAGAGACTACTGATAAACTAATGATATTACTAATAATAAATGACAAAAGTCTTGACTGGAGATTACTGATGCATTAAACGATATAATTGAATACATATTAACTGATCAATCAAGAGGAAGATAATTTCAACTTAACTTTTTGAACGATTTCTGGAAGATCAATGTAACAATCTTCTGAAGCTAGGATCTCAAAAAGTGTTTGTTTTATTTTCCTCTTGAAGACATTTTTTGAAAGTTTTCTAAAAGATACAGGCATTTCATTCCATATTTTTGTTCGGATTCTAGAAAATGAATTCACTTGAATTGAGAGTTTGGAACTTTGTACGTAAAAGTTGTTAGAGGCAGAGGATCGAGTATTATAAAAATGAATATCAGAGACATCTCGAAAAAGATTTTGAATGTTTCCAGGAGCATTACTGTATCTTATTTCAAACATAAGGTTAGCTAAATGCTCATAATACAAAAATTTTAACGGTAAGACACCGGTGTCGATAACTAAAGGAATTGCATGCTGATTTTGCTCTGAGAAATAGATAAAGCGAAGAGCTCGCTTTTGAAACTTGAGAAGCTTTTCAAGGTACGATTTATATGCTTGACCCCAGGCCGTCAAACCATAGGTTAAATAAGGAGCAACAAGGGATCCATAAATAGAAGAGTATGTCTTGGCAGAAAATACCATAGTTTACAGATCAATCCTACAGTTTGACTCATTTTAATAGCTACGTGGTCAAGATGATGTTTCCAGGAAAGGTCATTGTCAATTATTATACCTAGATATCTCACAAATTCCTTACATTCTAGAGCCACATTCTTATTTTGATCATTGTCGAATACCATTATTTTGGGGTGATAGGTAAGTTTTCTCTGAGTCGGTCTAAAAATTACGAAATTTGTTTTTTTAATATTCAAGGTTAGTTTATTGGCAGTTAACCAATGGAACAACTTACAGAGCTCCTGATTTACAGTCGACTCAAGGGACTTGAGATTTTTGTGAGCATATACAGCGTTCCTGTCAGCAGCAAATAAAAAGATTCAGAAGATTCTTGGATATTGTTGATATAGATTAAAAAGAGTATTGGGCCTAGGACAGAACCTTGCGGCACACTGCAAGTGGTATTTTTTCGTTTAGATATAGAGGAACCAATTTGTGTTGTTTGAGTTCGACCTTCTAAGTAAGACGAGAACCATTTATTTATAACACCACGAAAATCATAGTGATCTAGCTTGTGCAAAAGAATTTTATGATTGACTGTATCAAAAGCCTTTTTCAGTTCAATAAATACACCACATGAGAACAAGCACTAGCCCATGTTTTCCTGGATGGTACTTACAATGTCAAGAATTGCATGTTGAGTTGAGTGCGCTTTGCGGAAGCCATATTGAGATGAAGAAAGTATGTCATTTTGCTCAATGAAAGATTCCATTCTAGAGAAGATCACTTTTTCGAAGATCCTATTAAAGTTAGATGGCAAAGAAATAGGCCTATAGTTGTTTGTGATAGTGTTATCTTCAGCTTTAAAGATAGGAATAATTTTTCCCATTTTTAGTTTAGTGGGATACATCCCAGTCGAAATAGAAAGATTTATTATATTTGTGAGAATACAGCTGACAACATTTGACGAGTACTTCAACAGTTGAGTGAGACATGAGTTTAAGTTTAGGTTTAAGTTTAATTCATTCGCCACAGGAATGGCAGGAGAAACGAACAGAACTTTCGTTCCGATTGACACCTAACCCCTTTTTTACCCACCCATCCCACCTCGGAGAGGACATCCATCACACTAATCTCGTGTGTGGGAAATTAACGTCTCCTACCCCAACCCTGCAGGAGACGGGACCTCCATTTATCGTCCCTATCCCAGAAGACTAGAAAGTCTAACCATTTGCAGATATTATTACAAAGGCAGCACTTTCTTCTCAGTTAATGAATAGTTATTTGAATTCTCAGTTAATGAATATAAACCATGAGATTTATTAATTGGTATGTGCAAATTTCCAATTCAACTTCAGCTGGGGTAACTAGGTTGAAGGCAAACGAAGAGTTAGGAGAGTTAGATCTGAAACTTATTTATTTCACGTACTGCTGAGAAACAGGACAATTTTTTGCTGTAAAATGATTCTACATACCATGTGCTGTTATTAGTAGATTATTTTCAAAGTATGTAGGGTATGATTTTTATGCTAGATCTTTTTGTGGGCCTTTTGATTATAAAGCTTAAAGTGCACCTAAACCCCCAAATTTTTTTCGCTTAACGAAATAAGCTCATTTTTTGGAATATTTCTGTGCAAAAATTTTTTAATTTGCTTAAATCTTTAATTTTCTTTGCCTGTAGTCAAAATACTGAAAATCCGCTGCCATCTTGCCCCATGACAGAGTTTAAAGAGGAATGGCTCTAGTGGATAATGTGACGTCAAATCGAGAACACGAAAGTCTGCATTTCACACAATTTTACTTGTTTGGGAAAGTTGTCGCCGATATTGTCCGAAATACGCCAACTAGGTGTGTTGTATGAGGAATGTATGAAGCGCGATACCCTCTTGCAAATTTCCCATGTTGCTACATCCTCCTACAACACACTTAGTCGGCATATTTATTAATCTGTGTTTACATGCCTCATCTAGACACACATCAACCAGTGAGAGTCAGAGCTCTCAAGGTTAAAAGAAGATAGGAAAGAAGGAATAGTGGGTACCCAAATTATCATGGATGGAATTAAATGAAATCAAAACTAAGAACTTTTCAGTGCAAGTTAGTAAGTTTTATTCCTGACCCATTACATTAAATAATAAATTACAATTTCCCACGCAGATTACTTTTAATAGATTCTGGGATCATGTCTACATAAATCTTATGGTCCTTTAGTGATCCTAGCACACCAGTCTTATTAACATAGCTATCTGCTTGAGGATCGTATGTGACATGCTCTCCACACACATCTGTCAGAGTACCGCCCACAGACTCAAGGAGAGCCTCGCATGCACAGGTATCCCAACGTTTGCACCCTGGGCTTGCAAACACATAGGCATCAGCAGCTCCTTCAAGTAGCAACAACACTTTATAACCTGCCCCACCAGCCTTTATTACCTTGTCAGGATTCATTGCTTCTACTGCTTCCATTACCACCCCATTGGAGTGAGAGCGAGTTGTGGTGATGACACATCGTCCTGGGGGAGGGGGGATGTGGGTAAAACCAAAGCTACCAAGACCTCTTACACCCCACATAGTTCTTCCAAGTTTACTTCCCTGGGTTTCATTTTCATAACCATAAAATGGCTGATGGATAACTCCTGCTACAGGTTTGCCATTTAATGAAATACCTATGAGAACTGTCACATGATCATAAAGACCTGTTTGAGAAAAAGAAAGGCAAATCAATTTTGTACCACATTGAATATGAATTACTTCAACTAGACAGAAGACAAATTATAACCAAATACAAACAGCCAGGGTTACCTACAGATGAGTTTTAACAAGCACATATTAAGTAAATTCTATCCAACCTTTCCATATGATTGCAAGCAACCATTATTTTCAAAACCTCAAGGGTTTTCCTATTTAAAGCAACAAAGAGGCTCAAAAGATTTGGTCCAAAAGTCATGCAACTGCTGCTCAGCAAATCAGATGCAAAACTAGAACCAATTCTGACCTAGTTGCTCATGTTTTCCCACATTTCAAGTGATTTACTTTTTCTTACTTTGTGAATTATTGTAATATCTCTTTGTTTCTGATTTTTTTCCTTGATTACCTCAGATTTTATTTGAAGGACAATCAGAAAATATGTGCTGTAAATGAATTATTCTTACTCCTTTGCAACTTTGATTGGTCATCATTACAGTATCATGGTAGCTAGGTGGACTGACAGCACTTAGATATTACTGCTTTATGTGGGCTGTGGAGAGGATGATTCCATAAAAATTTTTTGAAAGCTTAATCATACCCCTTAAAGTCAATTTCCTGGTGATGTAATGCAAAATACCCAGAATCACTAGATCACTTCAAATTGGTTTGTTTCCATACAAAAGCGACACAATTATCAATGCAAATGTTTTCACAAACATTACCCTCAAAAAGGATATCAGCAATTTTCCAGATGTGGCTTGTTTTTATTCCTGCACCCTCTAAAGGTTTAATAACTTCATTATGGACATTTCTTTCTACAAACAGGTTTGTGCTTTAGAAATGTTTCAAAGTATGTATCGTGAGATATACCTACCAATTTCAGCCAATTCCATATCATGGTGACAGGTGTTAACAAACTTCAAATATTCACCTTGGGTGATTATCTCTTTAAGATTTAGACATTAACGGTAAGTTCAAAACAAGTTCTCATACCCTCTGTAAATTCTCTTGTACCATCTAGTGGATCCACCCAGATGGTAACCTGTAAAAATAAAAGACAGTTATGGGTGATGACCTAAAAAGCTTTACAAAGTTTGTGTATGCAGAACAACTAATGTTGTGATAATATGCGTGACTTTACTAGACTGCTTGAAAACTTGTTAAGTTTAAGCAAGTCCTAGGCAGCAGACTAAGCCAAGAATAGGAGGTTTGGTTTTAGTCTAAAATCATGCTAATCAATAATTAACCTGATTATTATTGACTGACAAAAATACTTTACTTTAATTTTATGATAAATTATCAAACCTAGGTGTACAAAGGATGATATGAATAATTAATATGATTTTATGAGACAAAGAGACAAAAGTAACTCACTTCCTCTGGCTTGACTGTAATAAGATCTTCTGGACAAGGTTTTGAAAGAACTGTTTCGTCTTGAGATATTTCAATAAACTCTTCTCTCACATCATCCAAATGAACATTCTGAAAAGATAAAATACAAGTATTTCCTGTTGATGCACAGCATAATTACCCACCGATAGTATCCTATTGGTAATATGGATCATTGCACGGCATATGTTTGTCACAAGCTACAAGTTTGCAACACAAAACTAGGAACAATTTTTTACTAAAATCCCAATGAGTATCTTTCTGACTCCACGCAGGATTATTTCAACCTTACTACTCCTCACATAGAAGCCTAGTGTAAGTCTTAACTCGTGACACTTGTGATCTTGCCATAGTTCATTTGGTAGACCATCCTGCCATGGATTACAAATTGGCACGAGTTGAAGGACATTAAATTTTTCATTTGTTGTCCCATGCAAGAATCAAATGTTGAACTTTTAGTTCTGTGATTATTATTTCAATCAACACACCTCTTCCTCTCCAATAATTTGCACAGTTGGATATGTTCTCAACAGTGAGGCAATGATACATTTCTGAGATGCACGATCTGCTTCAGTTTGTGGGTCATATTCTCCACTACCACCCTGAAACATCAAATTTCATATTGTATGATGTGGCACATATTATCTCATTAAGATGATGGCTAGGTTTGGATTCTTTGAAAGTTATAACTCATCATAATTCTCTATTTTAGCAGTCAAAATGTTTTGATGGCAGTGTCCAGTACTAATATTACCTTCTGCCTTTTTAACTATTCCTTACCCTTAAAAATATTATGCACATAACACAAATTCAATAAAGATTCTTCCAAGAAGTTAAGACACACGAAAAATTGTATGATGATATAGTCAATCCTGTATCAAATGGCATGATATTAAGCAGTCACCCTGTCTTTAGTTGGTTTTTAAAGTCCAGAAATTGTTACCCCTTAATTACTGTAATTTTCACCCTTATCAAGTGGTCACCTCTATTAAACAAATCACCCTTTTCTGGGTCCCAGCAGCCTTTTTGATTTTCCTCCACATGTATCAAATGGTCACTTAAAGCCAAACCACTCAAAGCAGTCACCCTGCCATTACTGGATGACCCCATGAGACAGGTTCAAGAAATATCGGTACTTACTTCACATTTCAAATACGATTTGAAAAATACACAGAAAATATATAATATATAATACAAACAACTAGAAAATAACAAGCTAGCAAACTATAAGGCAGACAAAAAGAAAACAAGTTGGTTAATTGAGAAGCTCGGTATACTAGCCTTCAGTAAACTCAGTTAAAGTTCAACTGTGAGTTTTAACGTCGAGCAGCTGGTGTACTTTTCCAAATCTTTTATATATAAATAAATGTTTGATAATGAATGGTTTACACAAACAAGTCAGGTGGAGTGAAAAACTAGCCATCAAGGTGGAATCATGAAGGTTTTCTCCATAAAGAAATAGGAGAAGATTCGTCACCGTTTGTCAGAATTTTAAGCTCTAGAATAGAAGAGGGAGATAATATTATTTCACTTTAGTTATTTCGTAAGCGGATCGGTTCCGATCCAGCTGTTAATATTAAATCAAATCGCCTTACTTTCTGACAGTATATAAAAATAAATAAACAAACCTTGTCTACAACGCCAAGACTGCCTGTTTTAAGTATGTTACGGATAATTCCACCGGCTCGATTAGCCACAGCGACAGACGAAGACATAAGGCGCATGAGAAAGAACGGTGCTCCAGTAGCCATGATTGCCGCCTAAATAGGAAGGACTAGTTGAACAGTGATTAGGAGGGGGAGGGTGGGCAAGAATGGACAAAAAAATTATCCTATAAATTATTTTAAAAATATGCTCATGCTTTCTGCCCACCGCCTCCCTCCTCCCCCCCCCCCAAACAAAAGTAAGAGGAAACAACATAAAAAAAAAAATAAAACAAAACAAAATAACGACTTTTTCCAAAAAAAGAAAAGATTCCAAACTTTACTGTCCAATAAACAAAATTCTAACCCCCCCCGTATCACTTTTCTATAGCCTATTTTCGCAGATGTAGTCACGACGAGCGTTGCGTGACCTTCACACGCATCCAACAACGTCCGAGGAGCGAGAAAACGCCTCCAAATATCATCACTCTAACTAAACCACGAAAAAAACTGGTCCGTTTATTTTTGTAGAAATTACGGAGGTGTCTTGGCCCTAACTTAGAATGATTGTTAACTGTAACGGAATCACCCTTACCGATACTTTCGTGGTTTGAGTGGTATGAAGTGAGTTCGTTCAGCCATGAAGGCGAGCTCTCCAACGCGGTTTATTACGGATACTCTGCCCACAGATACCCAGAGGGTCACCGTTTGTCAGAGTAAAAATGGAACTATTATGCCTTCAGTAGCCAATGGATACATTGGGACGGTGATCTACAGTGACACAGTGCATGTTTCAGGGGTATTCAATGGTAAAGCTTACCCGAAGAGGAAGGATGTTTACCCAGTGCATTTCTACCAACACGCTCACCGCGCTCGCATTCCTTCTACCACTTCTATTGACTTTGCCGTCCAAGGAGTTCGAGGTAAAACTTCGTACGCCCTGGATGTGCTAGAAGGTGTCTTCTACAAATGGTTAACAGCCGATCGTTTGTATTTGGAACAGAGGATTTACGCGCATCGATCCCGGAAGAATTTATTGATCGTTGAGATATCTGCAAAAAACAACGCTGATAAGGAGTTCATGATGAGCCTGACTTCAAATCAAGGAGATTCTTCAATTGATGTCGGGTTTAAAGCAGCTGAGTCAAACAGATCTGGGGCTTTGGCAGCGGTTGGAATGGTACTACACGATTTATACAACTTATGAATTGCAATTACCAGGCCTGATCAATAACAAATACACTCATTCCAATAGCTTGCGAGGTTTTTAAACAGAAAACATGTCGGCTGTGTTACTTTGGTTATCGGTGTCATATTCATCTTGAAAAGTCACATTTGAAGTAGTGTAGGTGAACTCAGCTCCAAGTTCGAGTACATATGTGCCGTCTATTTTTACGCTAAAGTAGAAATATTAGTATGGAGGAACTTGTTGCTGTTACCCTGCATCCAACCCACTAGCGTGCATTGCGACCGCATTCTTAGAGAAAAACTTTATTTACACAATTGTTGTTACATGTTACATTTTCGTTTGCGTGGAGACTTTATGTATTTTTAGCTTTATTTATACTTAGGGTAAATACGTTCAGTCAGATTTTTTTGCATAATTTTGCTCATCCTTGATCCGGGTTAAATATAGGTCACCGTTGATTGTTGCATTCATGTTTAAGATCTTAAAGAAAGTGTGTTTAATCAAAATCGGTCAGACACAAAAACTCTTTACTTTCGGTCTCCGACAGTTTCTACTTACACGTGCCGTTCAGAGTAATCATACCCTGACCCCGCGATATCAACTTCAATAGACAGGCCAACGATTCATTCCCTTCGCTGGTGTGATTATTTCTCGTTTCGTGATCTATTTCTTGCACTGACGTTTATCAGGTCAACGAGACAGAGGAGGCAGGGAGCATGCGGGCTAATTTGGCAACGGTTTGGACCGAACTGGACGTTAACAAACCGCTGACCATAAAAGCCACATCAGAGGAGCAGACCTGGTACTTTATCACCTCAATAGCCACAAACCTGGACACCAAGTTTAACCCACTCTCTGAAGCTCTCTTTCAGTGGGATGAAGCTATGCTGTAAGTATTAGCCTAATCTGAACCCAAACTCTAGGGCGCATTTCATCTCATGATTTCCCCAAATCTAATTAATCACACACCCAATCATAGGGAAGTACAGTTAGAGAAGCTAATGAGTACGAAAAGCAAGGCGGCCCACGGCCATTTGACTGCGGGTGGGGTATTTGAACCGGAACTGTCATGTCTTTCCAGCGGAATACATGTGTTTTACAGAGTTCTCTTTCATCCAAACCGTGGTATCTTTCTCAGGGTGTTACTGACGGGCCACTATGATGTTTCACTTTCAGAGTCAAAGAGCATTTGCTAGAAGAACACAAAGCTGCTTGGAAAGCATTGTGGGACACTGGTCGGATCGAAATTGAAGGGGATCTAGAAATGGCCCAGGCTGTGTACGGCAGTATGTATTACATTCTAAGCTCCACTCGACACGACTGGCCGTACGGGCTGAGTCCCGGAGGACTTCCGGCTGCAGAGGAGTACATGGGACATACATTCTGGGATCAGGACATATGGATGAACCCCTCTCTACTGCTTTTACACCCAGATTTGGCGAGGAGTTCTTTGAGATATCGGAATGAACGACTGCCCGCAGCCCGCAGAATCGCAAAGGAGTTTGGATACAAAGGTAACAAAGTATGAATTAAAGTGGAAGTAAAAGCAGAACGGCATAAAATGATAACCGTTATGTGCGAATAAGCTTTCGTTTGCATTTTTAAGTTATGATTGAGAATGGATGCAGTATGGATGCATTAGCACATCCTCTTTAATATGACGAACAGAATAAGGATATAATCTCAGGGGCGGATACAGCATTTAGTTAAGGGGGGTTCGGCGAATTGTCCGAGGGTATGCTCCCCATGGAGATTTTAAAAATTAGGTCTTCAGAAACATGATTTCCCGCATTTTAAGGGAAAATTTAGGGGTTCGACTGAACCACCCGAACCACCCCTGGACCCGCCCCAGAATCTGATGTTATCTTTAAACCGCCGAAGACTGGATCCGAACACTTATTCATTTTCGCATCTAGACTAGACTTTACTTGTTTGTTTTTTTCAGGGGCGATGTTTCCGTGGGAAAGTTCTTACACCGGCCTGGAGACTTCTCCAGGGGAAAAGTACGGCAAAAATCAAATTCATATAAATGGCGACATTGCTTTCGCTGCCAATCAGTTTTGGAGGGCGAGTAAAGACGTGAACTGGTTGCGGGAGGTCGGGTATCCACTTGTTTACCAGACCGCGGAGTACTGGGCGAGTAGAGTAGAATATGACGTTGTCAACGACAGATATATTATCAAACATGTGATGCCACCGGATGAATATCATTACCCTGTCAATAACTCGGTCTATACTAATGTGGTGGCGAAAATCAATCTATTGTTTGCTAAAGAAGCCGCTGATATCTTGGGAAATGAAGTTCCGAAAGAGTGGTTAACGATTGCTGAAAAGATGTAAATTCCTTTTGATGGCGAAAATAATTACCACCCGGAATATGAAGGATACACTTTGGACAAGAAGGTGAAACAAGCTGACACCATCCTGATTGGTTATCCACTGATGTACGAAATGGACGGCAAGGTGGGTTGGTTTTTCCATTGTGTTGTAAGGGTGTGTGAAAGACATGCTTAGTAAAGGTGTAGTCTTCCTTAGAGAAATACCCCTTTGTATAAAACATAGGTCACTTCTGTAAATATCAGTTTTAGATGCTCAATTTTAAACATTTATGTTTCGTGTTTTTAATTGCCTTTTGCGTATTTGAATTCGCAAAAGATGAAGATTTTAAGTTTCTTGCCTTGATCCTCTCTTGATGTCAGCTGTGAAGTATAAAAAAATGAATACAAGATGTCAATGATCTGCCTTTTGATACTATGTAGTCAGAACTAAAAACAAACCACGGAAAGTTTAACATATTATTCAGTATTTTATAGAAACGACGAATCTCACAATTTCTAGTACCAACCATGATCTATCCGCTCACTTTTCAAAAACTAGGAAACTAGGAAACTATTTGAAGACAACAGGGAATTGGGCCACGCAATAAAACATAACCTTCTGTTGCTATTTAGGTCCGATATAACGACCTTAAACTTTATGAAGAACGCACCGATCCCGATGGACCGGCCATGACACATTCCATGTTTGCCATCGGCTGGCTGGATCTGGGAGAGAATAGGAAAGCGGAGAAGCCTTTCCTAAAGAATTACGCCAATATCCGAGGACCATTCAAGGTAAAGCCCTCACTAAATGAACTTCTTTAAAAGAAGAACGCCTTCAAAAGCACTTTGCGACTCTCTATCCTGATCACTCATGGATATGCGAAGCACAGGAACGAGTAATCTGGGGATTCGATATGCAAATTTTGTGTTGTTTTCTTTCAAAAAATGGCAGACCGAATAGGGTGATGGGTACTTTTGGCGGTGACGGCTCAATTCTGTTTCTTGGAATCACAGGATCATTGGCTTTTGGTACAATCACTGTATGCTTTAATTAGGTTCCGTAAAGTTTATCAACTAGTCCACCATAGTCATCTTGATTCCGAATTATAATTTCTGGACCCATTTTAGAAGTTTACCTGGAGCATTCATCATTTTTATTCATAAAACCATGACACTTTTAAAACTGCTATTTTTTGTTTTGTAAACGTTTTTAGAGTTTTCGTCAAACAACCAATGATCTGTTCTGTGTGTTTGTGAAGGTGTGGACTGAGCGTCGCGATATCTGGGGCGCTGTCAATTTCATCACCGGAGCTGGTGGTTTTTTACAGACTGTTATCTATGGTTATGGAGGATTCCGACTGAACAGTTCTGGATTAGCGTTCAATCCTTCTTTGCCTCCAAACGTTACAAAAATGACAACCACTCTGCATTACCTGGGAAGCGTTCTGGATGTTGCAGTAACTGAAGAAGCAATAACATTTATGCTGCTCTTTTCAGGTCCAATTTCTCCTAAACTTGATGTCATAACATCTAAAGGTGTATTTAGTTTAGAGCGTGACTTTCCAGTTACAGTGAACAGAGCCAAGGGTATTATTAGCGTCCGACAGGCACTGCTACATAGTTCAAGTTAATTAGCTTTTTTTCTATATCTCTGCTATCAATGACGACAACCAATCAGAGGGGATTCTTTTCGATTGCTCGTTTGTTCCCAGTTTTCTTCTCACATTTTGCGACGATGAGGATACAAATATTGTAATAACACTAATTTCTTTGCATTCGTAATAATTATCAATAAACTAATAGGTCATGAATCAAAGAATTTAGATATAAATCGCTTTTATGGTCAAGTGTCGTTGTGAATTTTGAATACTAGTCATCTAATTGAACTGAAGGACCTAAAGCTGCTGATCGAAAATTTATATACTCCAATCACAAATACAGTGTGATGGATGACGAAAGTAGCGGACAAGGACGAAAGAAAGCCGAGTTCTACCGAGGTGATGGGAATGGTTAAGGTTCCCTAAGCTCTTAAACTTTTCGCAAACGCTTGTCGCCCTTTGAAATACTCATAGCGGTCTCTAGTCTCCTTTGCAGCCGTTATTTAGTCTCGTCAGGCAACGTTCTCTACCCCATTCTCTACTAGCTACCACAGAGAACGTTGCGTGACGAGACCAAACAATGCAACGGCTGTAAAGGAGACTAGGCCGAGAACGTTGCGTGACGAGGCTAAGCCCAAGTCTGACCATTGGCATCACTCTTCAATCGTGGTCGAAAAATAGTGCACCATGGTGATTGTATTGTTTTGAGTTAATGCTTTGAACTCATCAACCACACTTTTTGCAAAATAGCCATGTAACGAATTGCACAACCTGCTAAGTACCTCTGTGATCCTGGTTTTTTAAGATAATGATTTTTATTGAGCGAGAAAGGGAACGATTGTATTTTGTTTAGGAAACTCTCCCAATCACTCATCACAATTGTTATGTTTTGATTAATCGTTCACCAATGAGATCACAACGTAACCCAATCTTCCTCTTTGATGTAGCTGCCAACAGGGTAAGACTCGCGTACATCTCTTTGTCTGTGCGTTGTAAGATGTACCTCAGTGGCTGTAGCGTAGCGCTTGCCTTACTTTTAGTGAGTGCTGTATCAACAGTACACTCTATTCCGACAGTTGGAACACCAACTCGCTTCGTCACCGACAAACTGCCAGAACAAGTCAGTCCATCAACGTTACGCTTTGGCAGGAATGGAAACTTCATGGCTTCTGTTGCGAACGGCTATGTAGGCACAGTGATCTACAGCGATACAGTGCATGTATCGGGTGTTTATAATGGCAAGGCTTACTCAAAGAAGTATCCGATTTATCCAATAAACCTTTATGAACATCCTCACAGAGCGCGCATCCCTTCGACAGCCTCTTTCAATTTCAAGATCAGAAGAACCCAGGGGAATACCTCATATGCGCTGGACGTATACGATGGAGTCTTTTATAAGTGGTTCGAGGCGCTCAATTTGACGGTGGAGCAAAGGATTTACGCGCACAGAACCAGGAAGAATCTCTTGATTGTGGAACTTACTGCGAAGAACAACGCGGGAAGAGAATTTTTGATGGACCTTATTCCAAACATGGGATACATCACAAGGGATATTGATTTCTACATGAAAGATTCAAACAGAAGCGAAGCTCTTGCTGGCGTAGGTTTGGTATGTTTTATATTCATATTTTCATATAAAATAGCACTATTTCAGCCTTAAAATATGAACAAATGAATTGTTTGTGAGAGGGTGAACGTGACCTGGCCGATTGATTTGGACAACAATGGACAAAAGATATCCATTCACTATTGTCTGTTTATTTCCGGAGTTGCACAAGTGACATCAAAGCGAAAAATACTACTGTAAACTGATACCGATGATATTTCCAAGTTCTTAAGGTGGCTTAACCCAGTTTTCGCGCGCGCTTTTGCTGATGCAATTCAGCGCGCGCACATGGATTGTAAAAAACAAACGTGCCGTCAATAGAGCGGTCATTTTATTTACTCAACTCGTACCCGCACTATCTGTGCTATTTTTCTCTATAGTTGGCGCAGTGTTTTGAGGGCTTTAATCTTTTATTACAAAGATATGTTAGAAAAGTTAACGGTGCAAAGAACCCAGCATATTCTCAGCTTTTTTGTCGTTACCGAAAGAAACCGGTTAAATGTAGCGCATGCGTAGTAAGTCAAAAAATTGCGATTGAATGGAAAATTGCTTTCTTGGAAATATGCCTATTTCTTGAGAACCACTTATTAGAATTTCACGAAATATGGTACAAAAATACTTTAGGAAATAAGTAACTGGATTATCGAAAAAAATTGATTTTAAACAGAGCAAATTCTAGAAAATCGAGTGAATCTTCAACAAGGTATAATCAAAGACCTCTTTGTTAAATTGTTAGCAAAGTGGTGTTAACTTGTGAGTATCGTTACAATCTCCTCGCATGCAAATTATGAAGAAAATCTAATGACTAGATTTTCTACAAAGAAACAAAACCGATTTTAATTGCCTATTTATATCTATTCATGTCGCCATGGCAATGGCACATACGTCACCTTAACTATCGAAAAAACAAAGTTTATGTTGTTAACTTGCTTGCTGCCAGTTTTGGCGACCGAGAGATCAAGGGTTTTAGAGAAAATAGTGAAAGAAACAAAGGTATCAAAAACTGTGTTCAGCCACCTTAACTTCAGGTAGTTTGGAAAATAAGGAATGCTGGAATTCGGAGCCCGGAACCGGAATACCCGGAATTCCCGGAATGACCGAAAAATAATAAATTCTCAAAAGATAAAAGTAAACTAATAAATAAATAAGAATATTGATGATTGAAAATTAATGGTGAACTCACAACTTAATTTAATAATTTAATACGAAATTTTTCTCTGAGAATCCCCCAAAAAAAACACTTACCGGCACTGTTCATGGAGATACACGTATTAGAATTTTAAAAAGTCTGCGTCAGGCCGGTAGCCCATACAGCCTAAGCGACGAAATATTTGTACTCTCCCTTCCCCCTGGATGGGATGCTAATCCATGACATGGTTTCTCCCCGTTTTAAATTCGCCTTCACCCATTTACACACCTGCAGGATGTGTAGGGCGCCATGACCATTAGGCCACCACGCTTTTCCAGCCGGAACCATTGTGGAAGATTAACCAAATGCCATATTTCCAATTAGTTTAATAGTTCAATTGTAAAAAGCTCCGAACTAATACAAATTGATACTCTACCTTAAACAATTATTAACCACACATTGGGAGCTATCAAAGCAGCTACCATTACGACCAGCCGTCTACAGTTTTAATTGAGAGATCGTCAGTTACTCGACACCTTTTTGCGTTTATTATAAATACCTTGAATATATACCTTTGAATATAAACCTTGTTTAGAAGAATCCATCAGTACAAGGTTTATATTCAAAGGTATATAATTCAAGGTATATATAATAAACGCGAAAAGGTGTCGAGTAACTGACGATCTCTCAATTCTAACTGTAGACGGCTGGTCTTAATGGTAGCTGCTTTGGTGGCTCCCAATGTGTGGTTAATGATTATTTAAGGTAGAGTATTAATTTGCAATAGCTCGGAGCTTTTTACAACTGAACTATTAGACTAATTGGAATGGTTCTCCTGCAATGGTTCCGGTTGGAAAAGCGTGGTGGCCTAATGGTCATGGCGCCCTAGACATCCTGCAGGTGTGTAAATGGGTGGAGTCGAATTTAAAACGGGGAGAAACCAGATGATGGATTAGCATGCCATCCAGGGGGAAGGGAGAGTACAAATATTTCGTCGCTTAGGCTGTATGGGCTACCGGCCTGACGCAGACTTTTTTTAATTCTAATACGTGTATCTCCATGAACAGTGCCGGTAAGTGTTTTTTTGGGGACCCTCAGAGAAAAATTTCGTATTAAATTATTTAATTAAGTTGTGAGTTTACCATTAATTTTTAATCATCAATATTCTTATTTATTCATTAGTTTACTTTTATCTTTTGAAAATTTATTATTTTTTGGTCATTCCAGGTATTCCGAGCATTCCGGTTCCGGTTCCGAATTCCAGCATTCCTTCTTTTCCAAACTACCTAACTTCAGAGTATAATTGGTCCGAGAAGGTTGATTTGTATTTGTTTCAACTTGATTCCAAATAATTTTCCTCAGGATATCTTGCCCCTGACCTTTTTGCCCACTTTGGAGAGGGTATCCTCTGATGTTTAGGGGAATGAAACTTTCGCTTTTTCTGTCAAAGGGAAGTATCAAAATACAGTGCAAATTCTACCTGAAAATCTCTAGGGATTTAAATCGTGTTATTAACGCTTCTGGACTTTTTTTTTGTTTGTCTCTGTTTGCGTTTTTCGTATTTTACTTAGTTTAATTTTTCACGCTCCTGTAGCTTTTGACAGTTAGTCTTATATTGTGCGCTTACCGGATCCGGATGAAAGGAATAGCAGTGTAATTGCACTGTCAGATGATAAACTGAGCACCGATCTATTGATTTATTCATCTATTCATTCAAATATAAATATCGGTAAAACAGACTGAAGAGGATGGAAGTGTTCGCCCGAACATAGCAATTGTGATAATGATAAGATGATAAACTGAGCACTGTTCTATTGGTTTATTTATCTATTTATTCAAATATAAATGTAGGTAAAACAGACTGAAGAGGATGGAAGTGTTCGCCCGAACGTAGCAATTGTGTGGAAGTACCCAGATACTAGCCATCCATTGAAAATCACGGCCAGCTCAGACGAGCAGACCTGGTACTACATCACCTCCATAGCCACAAATCTGGACACCAAGTTCAACCCGCTTTCTGAAGCTCTCTTTCAGTGGGATGAAGCCATGTTGTAAGGATCTACATTATGAGACATTTTAATTTTATTATAGCCGAGAAGACTTGGATGTGTCAATTGCAAACCTTAGGACTTTTTACTAAAGATAAGAAAGCTGTTCGGTACAAACCGGAAAAACATGAAGGGGGTACTAACGACGAACGACGGCACGAGAATTTCAAGTGGAGAAGGTTATGACCATTTGTAAATAAAGAATGTGAAGAAAACATTATGCAAAGAATTAGTTATTTCGAACTATAATCGACTTGTCCTGCAACACAAATGCTGATTTTCACGTTCACTTCTTTTAGAGTGAAGGAAAAGCTTCTTGCAGAACATAAAGCTGCTTGGAAAGCATTGTGGGACACTGGCCGGATTGAAATCGAAGGGGATCTAGAAATGGCCCAGGCTCTGTACGGCAGTATGTATTACATTCTAAGCTCCACTCGACACGACTGGCCGTACGGGCTGAGTCCCGGAGGACTTCCGGCTGCAGAGGAGTACATGGGACATACATTCTGGGATCAGGACATATGGATGTACCCCCCTCTAGTGCTGCTACACCCTGACTTGGCCAGAAGTTCTGTGCGATATCGAAAGGAAAGGCTACCTGCAGCCCGCAGAATCGCGAAGGAATACGGTTATAAAGGTAGGGAAATAAGTGTTTACGCAAAAACATGCAGATGAACAGAAGCACAGACCAGGGGACGAAAAGACCGAAAAAAACAAATGTATTTTAGTTCAAACCAAATGGAAAAATTTCAAAGAAGTCCAGAAGCATGGGTGGAGTGATGGAACAGCGGATTTGAACGAACAGACAAGTCCATTACATAAAAATTAAGGCTCAGTATCTGTTTGATTTTTGTTAGCATAGCGTGAAAATAGTTTTGAGAAAGGCAAATTTCTAACATAACTTTCGAACAAAACCGCACACAGGCGCAATGTTTCCCTGGGAGAGCTCCTTTACTGGCTTAGAGACCTCCCCTGGAGAGGTATATGCCAAGAACCAGAATCACATCACGGGAGACATTGCACTGGCCGCTAAGATGTTATGGCGTGCTACCAAGGATCTCCACTGGCTGCGGGAGGTTGGGTTTCCTCTTGTGTACCAGACTGCAGAGTATTGGGCTAGCCGAGTAGAATATGATTCCGAGAAAGAGAGATACGTCATCAATCACGTGATGCCACCGGACGAGTATCACTACCCAGTTAACAATTCCTTCTTCACTAATGTGGTGGCTAAGATAAATCTGCTGTTTGCCAAAGAAGCTGCTGAAATCCTGGGCAAGAAAGTGCCCGAGCTGTGGTCGACCATTGCGGAAAAGATTTACATCCCCTTTGACAGCAACTATGAATATCACCCTGAGTTTGAGGGATATGTGGCAAATGTGATGGTTAAACAGGCAGATGTTATACTGGTGGGCTTTCCCTTGATGTATCAAATGGATAAACAGGTGAGTAGCCAGCTGTTTTTCGAGTAATTCCAAGTGGCTTTAACGCCCTTATTTTCATCGAGGATTCCAAAAATTGGCCAACCTTCCTAAAGATCTGTCGATGTAACATATAGATAAATACACACCCGAGTTTTGAAACGTTTTAATTTGAAAATATTAACAACAACAACAATTAATCACTTATAGAGCGCTATTTACAATGACAGATCAACAGCGCTTTACAATCAATCCTAACCCGCCCATCCCACCCCAGGGGAGGACATCCATCACACAGTAATCTCGTGCGTGGGAAATTAACGTCTCCTACCCCTAACCCTGTAGGAGACGGGACCTCTATTTATTCGTCCCTATCCGAGAAGACTAGAATATCTAACCATTTCTTGATGTTATAGAAAGGTAGCATATTCTTCTCAATTATTTTAAGACCTTGAGTGTTGGTCCGGCCGGGGCTCGAACCCTCGACCTCCCGCACAACAGTCCAGCGCTCTATCTAATATATCAAATATATGAAATTTTTCTTTTCTCATCAAAAGTTTCTCTTCTCGATGAGAAAAGAAAAGGTATAAATATTTGATATATATTTTCAAATCAGCAACGTTTTTGAAAACAGGTAGATATATGTGTGTGTGTGTGTGTGTGTATTAAAAAAATGAGGAGTCAAATAAGATATCCTCAGCTGAATGTTTAAAATCTTTTGTTTTGCCTTTTTTTCTTCAGGTCCGATATAACGATCTGACTTTTTATGAGAGGCTTACAGATCCTGAAGGACCCGCTATGACTCATGCTATGTTTGCAATTGGCTGGCTGGAAGCTGGGGAGGAAAAGAAAGCTGAAACAGCCTTTTTAAAGAACTACGCTAATATCCAGGGTCCCTTTAAGGTAATAACTTACCTAACTTGTCGCGTTCCCGAAGCAAGTTCTTGCGGGAAGTATTGATCCGGAGTTCACCGAGTTCAACCACACACTACAGGCCTGATTTTAACAACCGATTTATTCCTTGGTTACCACTGAAGAAAGCGGTGAAAACTGCAACATTAAAAATTTACGCGTTACGCAACGAAATAAGCGGCAAAGGATAACCTAAAAGTAAGCTTACATTATAATTCCTGCTGACTGTGTGAAGACGAAAGAGATTTCTCCAACTCCTAAATTTCTCCGTAGAAGCGACGAACGCGTATATCTCAAAGCTTCCTAAGGTCGTTCCCGTTACAAAGGTCGTGAAAAGATCGGGTTACGGAGTTGCGAAAGATAGCGATGATTAACTAAATTACACTATAAAATCACGTGCGTAACGCAAGTGTGTTACGTCGTTCGTGACAACTTATCCTTGGTATTTTGGAAACAATTGATGTTTTAGATCCACTGCCAGTTCTCTGATGGCTATTTCACTGCATTTGATACCATTTTGTTCCCATCTGGGATTTAAAATCACTCTTCCTTTCTAGGTGTGGTTAGAAAGGCGAGGTGGTAAAGGGGCGGTGAACTTCATTACAGGAGCTGGAGGATTCCTGCAGGCTGTCGTCTACGGGTATGGTGGTTTCCGGATCAGAAATGATGGCCTGTACTTCAATTCTACCCTTCCTCCCAGGACAACCAAATTGACCCTGAGTTTACACTATCTGGGCTGTTCCCTGAAGTTTGAGCTGCGAAACACCAACGTCACTTTTACGTTGGTGTCCAATGGTCCCATATCACCTGATCTGGAATTGTCGCCTAAGCAAGGTGTATTTGCCCTGAGACAAGGAATACCTGTCACCCTGCAAACAAAGGATGGAGGGGTGCGCAAGCGAGTGAGTACAATACAATCTGAAATACCACAAAACGTGCAAGGACGTCATAATTTCTAAACAGGATCATAAATGTACTCATGACTATTATCCACTAAACACTACCAGCGCGTGAAATACCGCGGGTATCCTGTCCGGCCAAACAGAATCTGTCCGTTCATGAGTGGAGACCAGCAATGTAGCATGGACACTGGGAACATAGTTCAATAAGAGAAGCGTCCGCTTGCGGGAGGCATCCGTGCACAATTTTTTCAAGAGATTAGCTCGTGGATCTAAGAGGTAAATCAACCAATTGGAGACAATGTCGTCTGCTAGGGATATTTTTCAAGAGAAATTTAGTCAGCTCATCGCTGAAACTCTTTGACAACAAATACTAGGTTTTGACGCATTTCATAGCTACTGAAAGTTGGTGCCATTTTTCTTCTTGGACTTCCTCAGAGACTTATTTTCGAGTTTTACTTCAAACTTTATACACATTAAGACAACGTATACCAGAGAGGTTGGTAGTTTAGATCTCTTAGCTTTGCTTTGGGAAGATTAAAGAACTTTTTCCAGTTTCTAACTGGAAAAAACTGGCGCAGAGTTAGTCTATCCAAGAATAATACCTCAGTGACCCGTGTTTGATTCGTTTGAGAACAACCAAGGTTTAAACAATATATTGATCGAACAATTATTTTAAGTTTTGTCTGAACTTTGTCTTATTATTTTCATATTTTTGACAGGCCTGGCCGAGCCGAGCTAAATCCAAAATCTTTGGCCGAAAGATAGGTACTGGAACATAGAGTGCATTCTAGACCCCAAGAGGAACTTAGTGTCTCTGTGTTTGTAGCTTTGAGACTGCGCAGACGCAGAATCGTCTATTAAAAAATATAATCGATATATGTTACTGCTTGGCTTTAAAAGCTCCCTAAAGCCTCAGTCAAATAGAGAGTATAGAATTCTGCAAACTCCATTTTGGGAAAAGGACCCATTTTACGTGGTTTATTTTTGAAAGCTTTCCAGATTTTCTAAGTTTAATTTTCCTACAAGTTGCTACTGCCCTCGGCGATCACATTTTGTCAAAACACAAAATGCATTATTGTCCTTTAGCAAAATTTGATACTACTGACAAGGAAAATGACACACAACAATTAATCTTGACCAGAGTTAAGTGATTTCTTCCTCCTGATATATCACTTTAGTCATTTTACTCCTACTGGATCCGTTACATGTTGTTTTTTGACGACCGTGACTTCACTATCTGGTGAATGAAATCTTACAACATAACCTGGTGTTTTGGAGAATACTCCATGCAAGCCATTAACGTTGATACTATATCCTTGACTGTTTGATTGCGGAAGTGAATCAGCCCTTTGCATGGGTTTCAAAAAGGCTGCCCTAAGAACTAGGCCTGATGGTCTTACGAGTGAAGGAACTTTAACTGCTACCCCAGGAACAGTCAAGGGCTGTGAAATGTAATACTGTGGAACTACGACGCCGTTTTGATTGACAATGTTTCCATAACTGAATCTTAAACGCTGAAGCATTTTTTGTTTTATCTGTGCGGAATACGCCCTTAGCTCATTCATGGCCTGAAGATGACGTTCTTGCTCTATAAGGGTGGCAGTTTGATCCTCTATGCCCCCATGAATACGCGTCAAGTCTTGGCTCATTTGATCCGATATTTCGTAAGGTGAAATGTTTTGATTTTCGTCATGTTTCATCTTCTGTAATTGTGGTTCTTTATTTTCAATTTTTTCGGGTTTCTTCTCTTTGGCGTTATCTTCGTCTTCATTATCATCGTTTGGTCCGTCTTCATCGTCCTCATCGTCAATATTTTTGTCATGGTCATAATTAGAACGCTCCTTTGTTTCAAGGTCATCTTTGTGTAGTAGCTCTTCTTCGTCTGAATCGTCGGGTCTCTCCTTTTTAGCAACATGATTTACGCCACCGCGAACGTTTCCTGGGACAGAGCCATCCGCGTTTCCATCCTGTTCAGAATCGCCTGTGATTGGTTGGTTTGAATCCGAGTCAGTATCAGTTTGCATCAAGGTCTCTAGCAACACCTCATCCTTCATCTTACTCTGAGTGGATCCATTTTCTTCGCTCACTATTTCAAATGAATCTCTTGGTGCACTAGAGGGAACTTTAACAAGAGATGCTTTCGGTGTGCGGCTGTTTCCAAATTTCTGCCAAATGAAAGGGCTTAGCTGAGAAATTTGCGGAGAGCTCTTGCTTACGAAATTGTGGTTTTTTAGCTTAGCTGCCTTCTTTTGTTTACTTTCTAGTTTGTAAGATCTGCTTAGTAAAGAAAAGCTTTCTTCTCTGGCCTCTCTGGCGGTCTGGTTTGCTCTTGAATTCTGTCCAATGAGAAGTTTATGTTTGTCGTTATCAGGTATTTTTTTCTTCTTTAGGCTTCCTCCAAGACTCCTCTGCTTCCCTAACTCCTTTAGGCGGTGCCTATGATGTCCTAAAAGAATCATTTTGCAGAGTCAACAAACTTTTAAATAGCAAGATTTAATTTAATTTAATTTAATTTAATAGCTTCGCCGACATGCAGGGGCTCCACAGCAGCCTGCGCCAATTACTGCGGGCCCAGCAAACAGGCCAGACCACATCACAGTAATCTCGTGAGTGGGTTCCAAATTAACTAATTAATAGATGCAGGAGACGGGACCTACGGTTTATTCGTCCATATCCGAGAAGACTAGAGTGTCTATTGTTTCTTGATGTTATAGAAGGGTAGCACATTCTCCTCAGTTATTTTAAGACCTTGAGTGTTGGTCCGGCCGGGGTTAATTAGTTATGCTACTTCGCGAAGTCTTTTATGGCAGGGAAGGTGAGCGGTCAAAGAGTAGCAGAGTTTATCTTTTATTTCGAAGTTTGACGTAAGAAGTATTTCCTCGTTTTGGTGAGAAGGGTGGTCCATTGCAGGTTTCCCCATGGAGAATCGTTAGATTTCGCCGTTACCTTTTCTATTTCTGTGTGTAGAGGTACCGCGAACTTGAACGTAGAAACCATTTTCTGCAGCCCAGCGTCTAACCACAGTCTCTACGTACCTCATGTCAAAACTTATGGTTTCAACAGATATTAAATTGTTCCATACCATAAAAACGTGCTCATAAATCTTTACAAAATTCCCATTACCCTTCTCGACAGACAAGTTCTGCTCACGATCCTTTAGGAATCCGAACAGTCTCGTTGATATGTCTCAATTTGACATACTTTGTTGAGATACCGTATATAACTGCTGCTTATAAGCCCCCCCCCGGTTATGGGCCTATCTACCCGTAAAGAAAGTACATCCGTTTATAAGCCTCCCCACCCCCCATATAAACTCTCCTTTAGCTATGAAGGGATAGGAACCCTGCTGTGAATATAAATTTTAAGTTTTGTTCGCGTTGTTTTCTGTTCCAATTGTATTGAAAAACTCCGATCTATTATGACGTTTTAAAGCTTAATTCAAAGTGTGTAAATAAAAAACGCATCGGGATGTAAGCCCCTCCGTTTATAAGCCCACCTTCTGTTATATAATCCCAGGGCTTACAAACGGCAGTTTACGGTGTATGCTGTACATCGAGAAAGGTTTAAGAACGTATGGAGTCAAGTTAGGTAGTGGATTGGTGGAGGTAATTTTTAAAATAATGCTATTGACGAAAACTGGTACTCGGCGGTAATTTCGCATTTTGAAGAACGGTGACCTAAATTTTCTCACCCAACGCACGAAAATCTGTCACACGATGATTGTACCGAGGCAGGCTAAATCGTGTGTAATGCGAGAGTAACCAGAAATTAGAGACCTGTAATTTGGTAATGATCAGAGCATTGTCAACAGAGTATAGTCGCATTTTTTTTTCTTCAGTTGAATACACGAGCGGAAGTTCATTTTACCTTTCTTTGGGCCAAGTCCTTCAGTCGCGAAAAGAAACAGCGAAACAACTCCTAAAACAAGGAGCACTTGCATGAAGAATTACGGTTGTTGTCGACAACACCACGATGTTTACCTCTGAAAAGAAATGTATGGAATTGACATGACCGTGGAGGCAGTGCAAGTGCCGGGTACTCAGTGTTAAGCTCTTTTCATGTAACAAATAATCCACTTAAACGGAGCAGACATGTGGATGGTCACCAGCTGATTGTAAAACATTACCTGCTGTGTTTGAATGGTTCAGATCAGATCAAGGGACAGACAAAAAATTTAAAAATACCTGGTATGAATGGGTTGTTAGGGTCAACCATAGTCTTGCTTTGAGTACATGATGGCCTGTCAACTTAGTAATCATGACAATTTTTTTAAATTTATGTACAAAGTGATTTTAAACCTAGAGTCGGAAACTATGCCATTCTTAGTGCTTTGTATACTGGCACAAGGTGTTGCGAAGTTTTGGGACGTAGACAAAAGCATAAACTGGCGGAGCACCTCAAACATGGCAGAAGCAACACTTGTCCTTTCAGTTCTTCTGAATCTTCATTCGCCGAGTCTTCTGATCGACCAACAATTACACCTTTCACTTCTCTCCTCCTTAATAACCAACTTTATGCTTGAAGATTTGTATACATCATCTGTGAGTGTGAGTGTGAGTGGGTATGCGGGTTCAGTGGCCTTGGAGGAGTGAACATTTATTATCAGAACGCAACAACACGAGAATCTCAAATGTGAAAAAAATCATACATGAACTTCATGATTCCGACTAAAGCAATCAGTATTTCGCTACCAAAGCTAAAACAAGCGCAGGCCCGAGGCAATTTCTGTTGACAAGTTGTTCGAGAATCAGTCTTAACTAGACCAAGGGTAAGCCACTAATCATTCAATCAATCGAATCACTTAATGACTGCAGAATAATCGGATAAAACTACACAGTTTTAAGGGACCGGTTCTTCTCGCCTAAAGGGCTGAGAGGATTTTGTTGTGTCGCATTAAAATTGAACTGATCGCCCCCTAATTGTCATGATCCCCCCTCACTCGCAGTCAATTTGCTATAGTCCCCCTATATACTTTGTTGGCGACGGCTGAACTCCCAGGTACACAACATCACTACTTCGAGAAACGACATTCAAGTTCAGAGAATCCGAGAATTAGGCATTCTGATGGCAAAAACTCATGTATCCAAATCCAACTAAATATTTCATAACAGAAGGTTTAACCAAGAACGGAATGACAGGACGCGAGTGACAGGGATTCATCGCTTCTGTTAGCGCAGATCTGGTATTATGGTGTCTCTCTTCACGAACTAAACACCTGGTGCGCGTCAACTAGGGAGTTTAAGCAAATCACTACGGCTGGCGCTGCTACGGCTACCTTAAGTAAAATTGTCCAGAAACGAGTCATTGCGCATGTCAGTGGTTCCCATCCAGCC